AAAGTAAAATATCCCACATTGTGAGGGAGCTGGTTGATTTGCTCGAATAATTACAGCTTTATTATCATCATGACCTTTAATTAAAAAGTTTTTTTTTTAATAAATAACAAGCTATGTATTATTCTTTGGTTAATTACAAGCGATTAACACTCATTAAATCGAGATGTAAATTCAGCCTATTACGTTCTGAGGTTCTAACATTCATCTTAATAGTATAACTCACACTCAATCCACTTGAATCTATGTTAATAGATGGCGATTTATTTTCTAAATTCCATGCAGTCAGTAAAACAATTTCACCTTCCAGTAAGTAAGTCTTTCGTTTAAACGATTCGTTAACAAAATAAATTATGCAAATATTACGTATTTGTGTGAATACAGTACAAGTACGTGTTTATTATTGAACACAATGTACAAACCTCTAAAAAGGAAATGGCCAATCAGAGAACACAAATTTCGGGTATTTCGGATCAGCCCGACATAGAATCCGAACACGCGCGAATGAAGAAAAAAGAAAAGAAAGCAAAAATACTCAAAAACTAGTGTTTAAATCGACTTTTGTGCACTAATAAAAAATAACGGGAATGAAATTTTACATATAAGAAACTCCAAATTATCGCTAAAGCTCACAACCCTAACGTCATAATCCTAAATTTTTATTTTACGCACTTAGTTTATTTACACACATCACTGATTCTGGATCAGTTTCCACTCTCCCCTTAAATATACCATATTACATATTTGATTGAGTTTTTCACATTAATAAAAGTAGGGCTTCCTCTTGTAATCCAAATTTGTTAAATGATTCAAATTACTGCATATATGCGTTCTGAAATAACGCACAGGGTCTCAAAATGACGTACACCTGTGCGTTATTATGCGCAAAATGTTATTTATAAATATGGTTATCCCTGGTTACAATATAACGAACGAACTTATATATACTGAGATATGTTTAGAACTAACTAAACTTGAAAGAACTAATAATTTGAACTGTTTATATAATTTAAAACATCTGATTCAATTGTCTTAGCCAATTATGAAATTATTATAAGTTCAATAATAAATTAGATATTATAAAGTACGCTATAGCATTTAACACTATATATAATTTAGAGTTAAATTGCAGTTATAGGCTACGATAAGAATTATGTTAACGAATTATACTAAAACTAGTGATGCCTGCTGCAAAGCCGCAGCTTTGCATCTTCCTAGACCTATTTGCGACCTTTGCGAACACCCTTTTTGTTGCAAAAAGATGCAAGATCTCAGAACCATAAGGTTGAAAGTTACTACACCAAGATGCAAGATCGCAAATCATATATATAATCGCAAAGTTAACAGTCATGCGCTAAATAAGTTGTATCATTACATCGATATTGATATTATATAATAGTTTCAAATTCAGGTTAACAAAAACTTGTGAGAAACCTGAGACTTCAATAGGTCAAAATGCCTGCTTATGAACCAAATATTTTGTTTTAACAGTTTTTATGTGTAATCAAATCTGAATTTACCAAAACATTGTCAATTCGAGGTTATAATGTACTGTATATAAGGATATTATAATAAAGATTGTTGGATTAATGTGTATACTAAAAGATTTGAATTATTTAGGGAAATTTATAATTATAATTGGATCGAACAATTTTCTTGTTTATAACAAAGTTATTCAATAGTATTCAAGCAAAATATGCTAAATGTAAATTTATAACTTTTGTTCTGTATCTATTACAATTTATATAGCATTATAATCATTGTAATTCTAACTATATCTATTTACAATTAATGCATTATAATATTGATTGTAAAAAAAAATATCATAGCAAAACTTGAGCATTTAAATCTTGGTTTGAACGTATGATTTTATTCCTACAAATATAAGTTTAGTGAATTTAATGTATAATAAAAATAAATATATATTTAATTTTTAAAATTTTATCAAACCTCATTGAGCTTCTTGTTTTCAATAATAGTTTGTAGATTATAATCTTCAAAGTTTTCTTCTCCATTACTGGAATTCTTATTATCAATCAAATCATCTTTATTATTGTTAGATGAATTAAAAATTTGCAAATCAAAATCAATGAATGTTTTAATTTCTAGTTTCAAATCATTTGCTGTAGTATTAGTTGAGTTTAAAGTAAGAAGTTGATCAATTTCTTCATCTTGAGAATCATCATCCTCTTTGGAATTATAAAATTCAGAGTTAGAGCTTAATTCATCATTTTCAATTTGTTGAGGTTTTGATTCAGTTTGTAAAATATTAAATCGATGAACTTTAGCAATATTCTCTAAAGTTTAAATATTTATTTGCTGACATCCTTTTTCATAAAACTAGCTTAGAGCTGAGAATGTACGTTCACAGACTGCACTACTAGGTGTAATAGCAAAAAGCCGCATAGCAAGACATTGTAATTCATTTGGATTTACTTCACATGTTGTCCACCAGCTTAATGGAGCATCTTGATTAACTGTATAAGACATAGCATATGCATTTTGTGTTTCATCAGGATGTTCTTGTATTTTATATTCTCGTAATTGAGTTATTAATGATTCAAAGCTTTCTTGAGTTTTTCCCAAAGACTTCCATAACATGCCAGCATGATAAGCAATTTTAGGAAATATACCAAACTTAAGTTCTACTCCTTTATACATTAGATGTAAAAAAAATGTTAAAGATAATTTGGATCATCAAATTTTTTATATCATTAATTATATACTGAATACAATAATTTCTAAATTCACGATATTCTTTTTGTAGTAATTCATTAATTATAGTACCAATTTTAAGAAGAGCAATATAGCAATCAGCAAGATTAGATCGGCTTCCTTCTACTTTAAGAATTGCAAATTTAATAGGCATAAGTATTTCTGTTAGATATCAAAAAATCTATAGCTTTTTAAAATTGT